GGACGTCATTTCGGTAGGGAAGGTGGGTCATTTGCCCCCCCCCCCCCCCCCCCACCCCCCCCCTCCCCCTGAAATTTCAGGTTTTATTTAAATTGTTATGTACTGTGGCGCCTCCAGTAATAAACAACTTAACAAGCCGCCCAAGTTTTGGTTTTGCCCCCCCCCCCCTCCCCCGAAAAGCCATGAAATGAAGCCCCTGCATCCTACGGAGAATCAAATCTTATTTAAAAAAAAAAGAGAGAAACTGATCAACCTTTTGATCATTTGGTACGCGCACAACGTTCTTGGCCAATAGCCGTAGAAGGAAATCCCGATGTCCAGTAGACCTGAGTTTGATACTTTCATATAATCTGTCAACTCTGAATCCTCATCGGAGGATCAAAATAATGTAAAGAAACAACCAGTTTCATCTAGCTTTCAAATTTTGTCATCTCAAGATGTGAATTTCTGGTCTAAACCGTATTTCCTCTAAATTTCGATATCTAGTAGTAGTAGTGGCAATAGGTAGATGCACGCTTTTTCCAAAATGAGGACAGTCATTTTTTCTTTCTCTTCTCTCAAGAAGATTACTATTAAAAAAAAAAAAAAACTGGTTTAATAAACAGCAGAAACATCATGAGAGTGTGCGACGTGAGCCGGATGTGCTACCCTCACGGCAAAGAACCATCGTTCAAATAGCTTCACAATCGAAAATAGATTTGGTAACTGGCGAAAGCTGAGACCAAGAAGAAAGGATCGTGAAACAATCGTACCCATCGTTCAACAATTTATGTTTAGAAAGGGGACTAAGTTTAAGGTAGGACTGCTTGGTGAGACTTTTCAAAACCAAATTGGTTCCGAAGCCAGTAGGCTAACTGAGAGAAATTTTGCAGTTAGTCCGTCTGGCTCGGCACCGACTCATTTTAGACCACTGCTTCAGACAGCACACGTATTGAACAGCTCGACGTACACGTTAAAAGCTGAACACGGTTGTGCTGACAGAAAGGAACATTTTCTCGACTACAGGAAAAAACTGCTAAAAAATCACTGGAGAAATTGTGAAAAAAATGACGGGATTCAACTTAAAAGGCTTGTAGAGTACAATCATACGATTATCAGGCAACAATAGCATGAATTCATTCTTGTGAAAAGTAAAAAAAAACAAAATGTATAAAAAAAAGAACTCCGGAGCTAAAGAAAGCAACCAAAAAATACCGGGTCACGAAAAAATTCTGACCCCCCCCCCCCGGCTAAATATCTGTATGGGGGGCGTTGTTGTTGTTGTTGTTACTGTTGTTGTTTCTCCAAGATGTACTAACGTAACTGAAACTAGCGTTGAATCGGAACTAGCGAGGCGGAGAGTTTTTATTTGTGTACATGGCTCATGGTTGGCAGATACTTCGCCCCAACAATGGTAGATCTCCACAAGCATCACTGGCGTAGGAAGGGTGGGGGTGGAGGTGGCGGTCCGCCCTGGCCGGAACTTTTTTCTATATTATATTTGAGGGGGGGGGTGTTTTCTGGAAACTGCAGACTTTTTGTGGAGAGGAGGTGGCAAAAATAGTTGTTCGCCGCGGGCGGCACCACCCCTATAGCTGCACCACTCCTATAGCTGCACCACCCCTAAAGCTGCACCACCCCTATAGCTGCACCACCCCTAAAGCTGCACCACCCCTATAGCTGCACCACTGACTAGCATCCATTTCATCCCTTCTGTTATTATCCGATTACATTTTTGAGTGCTTAAAAAAAAAAGAAATTCAGAATCAAAATGTATCTATGACCCTCCCTGCATTAAGAAATTAGTAAAAAGATTCTGAGGAGTGGGGTTCACCCCGCTCCCCAGACCCAGTGGCGTAGCGAGGGTGTTTGGCGCCCGGGGACAAGATTCGCGCCCGGGGACAAAATCCATTTTTAGCGCCCCTTTTTCTTTTTTTTCAACTCTCAAACCCATTATTTTCATCAATAAAATATTATCAAAGCACATTTTGGCGCCCCTAACTAGCTGGCGCCCGGGGACATCTGTCACCCCCTGCCCCCACCATGCTACGCCTCTACCCAGACCACTCCCCTAATTTTCGCACGGGAGCTTTTGGCGCACTCGACTTCTGCTTCACCATCACCCCCCACCCCCCCTCCCCACACACACACACATACGCGCGCGCGTTCACGCCCGATCAGAGTAACAGAAAACAGGATCACATTTCTCATTCATAAATTATTTACTAGGTTTCTATTTGCTTCATTAAAATAATTTTTTTTTTAAAGACCAAATGCTCTTTTCCCCCTTTAAACCGAAATATTAAAAACTGCATGGACATTCAAATATTTTTTGTCATACGCATATGCCAGAATATGCGATACCAATAAACGATATGAGTGGGTCACGAGAGAGAGAAGTATAAAATAACTGGGTTTGGAACACCCACAGAAGGGGTGGAGCAATGCTGACCTGTGGGATTGGTGTCATACCCAGCACTTAACGACAGTATTAACATTACAGTTGACATTTTCAATCCCAGCCTCACGAGGCCTCACGGGGCCTCATGTGAAGGTTCGTTTAGTAACTCGCCGCCGCCAGAGCCACACTTGAGGTCAACCCTGTCACACGAACGGCTCCCGGAATCTGACGATGTTGTCAATTCACGGTGACATTGCAGCAAACAACAGATTTTGACTAAGTAATAAAAGATAATATATATATATATATATATATATATATATCATGCTGTGCTGTTACCGGTCTTCATGCCAGACATGTCTTGATTAAATAAAACGTGCTATTAATAGACCATTAGTCTTATTCTATGAACCATTTTGATCACCAACTATAGAATAACAGATGACGATGCGTGGGAGTGTGTGGACCATTTTGATCACCAACTATAGAATAACAGATGACGATGCGTGGGAGTGTGTGGACCATTTTGATCACCAAATATAGAAGAACAGATGACGATGCGTGGGAGTGTGTGGACCATTTTGATCACCAACTATAGAAGAACAGATGACGATGCGTGGGAGTGTGTGGACGGTTATTTTTATTTATCATTATTTTTGTTGTTGTTGTTGTTCTTGCAATTTTGGAGTGCGTGTCTGGCGGCTCTTAGTCTTGTTTCGACACTGGCAGACGATACTATTGACAGTGTCAAACGTTAGTCAATGTCTCCTGATTCTCTCACGACACCAACCCTGATATGTTAGTCTGCGCAGCTCTCAAAACAACAAACGCGAAAAGAACCATTTGCGACATTGCGAGTTTTTTTTTCTCTCTTCTTTTTTTGTGAGACTCAGACGAACGAGGTTTGGCTGATTTGGGGGGGGGGGGTGTTGGGGGGGGGGA